ATGCAGTTCTACTATTTCTACAAAATGCATTTCTAATGATTCTACAAAATGCATTTCTAATGATTCTACAAAATGCAGTTCTACTGTTTCTACAAAATGCAGTTCTACTGTTTCTACAAAATGCAGTTCTATTGTTTCTACAAAATGCATTTCTAATGATTCTACAAAATGCATTTCTAATGATTCTACAAAATGCAGTTCTACTGTTTCTACAAAATGCAGTTCTACTGTTTCTACAAAATGCAGTTCTACTGTTTCTACAAAATGCAGTTCTATTGTTTCTACAAAATGCAGTTCTATTGTTTCTACAAAATGCAGTTTTATTGTTTCTACAAAATGTAGTTCTATTATTTCTACAAAATGCAGTTCTATTGTTTCTACAAAATGCAGTTCTACTGTTTCTACAAAATGCAGTTCTATTGTTTCTACAAAATGCAGTTCTATTGTTTCTACAAAATGCAGTTCTACTGTTTCTACAAAATGCAGTTCTACTGTTTCTACAAAATGCAGTTCTATTGTTTCTACAAAATGCAGTTCTATTGTTACTACAAAATGCAGTTCCACTCTTTCTACTGTTCTACCAATTTCGATGAATGTATTTTGAGGAATGTCAAGTTTTATTTATTAATAAGGAGAAAAATCATTGTTTTTATACTATATTATGATATAAATTGAAGGTATACATTTGTGGTAATAATACATCCTACACTCCCTAAGTCTGTTCAGGTGAAAAAACATACCGGTCTAAAACTACCTGTGTCTAGTTCTGAAACAACGTGGGAGACTCGGGACACATTCTTGTGTTCAGGTGTTCGTATGAAAAGGATGTCAGCACGTGCTGAAATAAGTGTCTCCCAATTACTACGTAGGCTATATTAAGTCAAATCAAAGAAGTCTACCAGTTGGTTCGTAAATTCGTCGTTTTTCGTTTTGTTTGTTCGTGTTTTAAACTTTCCATTTCCTTTTTAATAAGGACAATCATACAGTTGTATAATACACACGGAGATCAATGATTTTTTTTCATAAAGGTGCTATATAAGACATTTCAATTGTGTTTACACGAATTCATATCGGATGGAGGAAAATGACCCCCACTGATTTTGAATGCAAGATATCCCCGAACACGACAAAAATGGCTGAGACGTGGACAGATTATTCAACTGTAGTCGAACACACACAGCATGCAGCTATGATATCACCGAGAGATGAAATTTGATTCACTACACATCCCGGTGATCTTTATGTCAAACTATGAAACCTGCAATATATAGTTACCGTTGACCTTTCAAATTAATCTAATTCGTCACATCTGCGACTAGCAACATCATGTTCATTACATACCATAGATATAGTGACATCATTCGTACTATGTTGCTACATGTGAACAAGCACTTCATACTTATCCCTTTCAGTGATCGGAAATTGTTTTGTTTCTCATTCAGGAGTCATGTAAACGCATGTAACAAGCAACCTGTGTTGTAACATATTCCAGCTTCAACACAGGCTAAGGTTACGTCGATGTATATAATTATAGATTACAGTGGGCAGGTACAGGATTTTTCATACAAATTATCAGTCGAAAAGTCCCTCTGATACTGGATTCTAGTTCACATAAGCATAAATCATGTTTCTTCAGCATAATTCAGGGAGTTGAACTGTTTTTGATAATCCGTCTCTAAAAATATCCGTGATTCTTTTTCCGCCAAAAAAGTCTGTCGATTCCAACAGCGCTCATAGATTTAGTCCAGAGAGCTAATTACTTTTAAGCGTATTTTATTGGGAACAGTAACTTTGACAAAAACAATAGGTATCAATAGGGACTTTAACATTGTCAATGATTTTGTAAAAATTACAATAGATGATGCGATCTCATTTCGGCAAGTTCCGTGAAAGACTTACACAAGCTGAATAATACGCTGTTAAGGTTTATGGGTTATAACCTCAAAGAGTTTTAAAACATATTTTTTTTTTTTTCAATAAACGGTTATATATCCTCTAGTTCTAAACTGACGGTATGCACTTCTTTTAGCTTAGTAAATTACACTCTTTATTTTTATAAATATATTTAAAAAAGAATGAAATAAGTACCTCGACCTGTTTTTGATTCCGAACTATCATGAAAGTACCTGAAAGACCTTTTTTTAAAAAAGCTGATACCCTGGAAGTTTGGGGAGCAGACCCTGAGGTATTTCTGCATTTATGTCGGTCACTTATTAAACTAAAACGTGATGATTGTCCCAAGATATATGATCAACCCACACATATTTGTAAATCGTTTCGTTTAGCGGTAAGTGCCTTTTGCGCATCGCCAGCCACAATTCTTTGTGTTGAAGCAAACGAACACCACTACAGGCTCAACTTGTTACCTAAAATTAAATTCTCTATCCCAAAAAACATAACCATTTCGAACGCAATCAGAAATTTATCGGTCCATTCAAATACTCGTAAATTCAAATTTAGACTTCTCGTAATTCCGCTTTATTCAATCCGTCAGTCGGATATAATTAATCACTGCACATTAATACTAAATGACATCCTCTCCCTAACCAATACGACAAATGAGTTTTCAACTCGCAATATCCATCCTACACTCTCCTATATACCGAGGGTTCTAAGGTAGATGAGAATGCAGCCAAAGCATGTGTTACAGGTAGTGTATCGTCTCTATTTACCTAATGCTGCTTCTTTCCTCACCGATGAAACTATTGTAACGGTAAGAAAATACCAACATATCAACATAATCATAATCCAAACTCAAATTCAACAATATGACAAGAGAATAATTTACATGGGGAATCCTGAAAGAAGTACAAGGAGAATAAGACCAGATGTTCCGGATTCATCGATGACACCCGCCATGTAAATCTTGATCAAACAGCTTCATATCCGACAAAGAAATATATCTTAATGAGATCACTATGTTTACCGTAAAACTTCCCCATAATTTTCATCAATCTACACCTTTCGAAACCCTGTGTTATGAATAGGTCCGTTAGTCGACGACCTCTTGCACGCAAATCGTGAAAATGGGAACAGGCTATCGAATAACGAATCAACTGCGACATATAATCAAATATAGGTTGGGGATACAGGCATGTTGCTATCCAGAAAAGGAAAATTCACAATAGGAAAATTGAAATCATCACGCTTACCACATAGACTGGTAGTAAACTGTCCATCTTGGTTTTGTAGTAGGAAAATGTAGAGGAGTCTGTCGTGTCTTTGATTTCCAATTCCGGTTGGTATATACAAGGGATCTGCGCAAAAAAATTCTCATTTAAAGACAACATGTCATCAACATATCTGAAAGTGAAATTAAACGACTTTGCGAAGTCTTTGTGTGACCTGTTTTGATAACTCTTCAAAACAGTCAGCCTCGTATGAAAAGAAAGCAAGTCATTTGACTTGGAGGTATATCTTTACGAATTACGCTTCAGTAAAGTTCAAAACCAATTATTCATTATTATTTCTTGGAATAGAAATATCCCGTAACAATAGAACGAACGCGTTGTTTCAGTTACGAAAGAAGATTAAGTTTCAAAACCATTGTAGGATTCAGAACGTGTGCCATCATATTCCTTTGTTGACTACGCCGCGTTATTCTTGGCCATTAGTTGGGCGATTGTCCTTGATAATAAGGCTTTGTGTTCCTTGGTTAAGGCACAACATTGTTTATAAAAATTGTCGTTTCCATTTCCTGTATTACACTTCGAACTTTGTTATTGAAATTACATGTTTTCATGTTGTGTACATTGACCTCGTGTGTTGTTCTGCTTGGGTGCCTTAGGCATTATACTTCACAGAATTGTCTGATGCACTTTCCGGTCATCTGCCACATTCCCAGATTAATTATTGATTTGATTTAGGTTTCATATTTAAGGGTCTTAGCAACGCTGTAAAGACAAACCAGTATATGTAGTGCGAGATGTTGAATCGCTAGTTTAACTTAAAATTCCGTGGCAATTTTACAATGTAATCGACTGTTCTTGATAAAATTGTAACAAAGTTTGGTACGGTAGTTGTGAAATTATCATGACAACAGACACCTCACAAAATTCCACAAGTATAAATACACGTTAGTTAACCGGCATAGCCTTCGCCGAAGACTACAAACGACCGTTGTTAACATCGTGTCGTCTCATTGGATTGTTGACATTGTAATAATGTATCCTTTTAATATTAATACATTATTGAGCTTATAATTTCGATACAGCATTAACTCGCATGCACGAATCCCCAAACAATTAAAATACATTTTATACCACATTAAAAAATCATTATGTACCTGTAAGGCACTTATTGATCGTTCCGAAAATATTTAGATGTCGTTTCTCGATTGTACTCTGTCACCTTTATGAAGAAACGCACGACTTGTAAGTTGTGTATTCTAAATTATACTGTTGCTGGGAGGTAAAAATCGGCAGCTTTCGCTTCACCCGAGATCTACACAGATCGATATACCAATGATATCTTGGCGAGTGGAATGGAAGGTAGTCGGTGCACATATACACTCACTATCACAACGTCCACCCTGGCAATTAGTTAGATGACTTGATAATCACAGGTAAGGATAACGTGACTTTCTCGCTGAGGAATATCGTCATATTCTTAAAGATTTCGAGAGTTACGAAACAACACAGATGCTAATATTTCGCAATACAAAGGATTTCAATAGCATTTATTCTTATAAGTACGTGTTGTAGGACTTAGGTGCCGTTTAACCTCTGGAGGTAATGCACAGTCTTGAATTTTGACAAACCGATTCAGACCTATCAAGTTCACGTTTATAAACTATGAGCTCGTAAAAATGTTTCAAAATCAAAAGGGTATATTGAAATAAAAAGGGATATATCAACAGTTCTATACTGCAGAACGAGTGCTTGTTTCACAGAACAAATAATATATCTGCTATCCCTCATTACATCCGACTGAAAGAAACGATACTCTCTTGCTGGTAGTTGATTAGAAACGTACTTATTTGGACAATAAATATTTTTACAATGAGCACGTCCAGTAGATTGTCGTTTGGAGTATCAGCAGAAACAAGTGTGTCCACGGGATGCTGTTCAGAAGGATGCAAATACAATATCCTCTCATTGAGAGGGCAGCGTTACCAAATGATAAAAATTGTAACACTGGCTTTGGTTCCAATGATTGCTCTTAGTGTTGTCACATCTATCAGTGTTATGGATAGCGCAATCAAATTTTCGATAAAGGAAAATATTCAAAAAGGAATATCGTTCAGTCTGGAAACTGGAATCCTTTTACGCTTTACACAGATCGAGCGCGGAATGAGCGCATTATATCTCAGTTCAAATTCGGACAGCCAGGCATATGAAACACTTTTAGGAAAATACGAAGGAACAGACGGTGCTATCAATGGTTTAAGTCGGTGGCCAAATTATAAAATTGATTATCCGCCTCATTTTCAATCAAAGTCAATATTTTTTCAAAACATTAGATCTTATCGGGAGAGAGTACTCTTTAACAACATAACAATAGGAGATATTGTTACAAAGTACACTTCTGACAATGCTGTAATCATCAGCTGGGTAGGAAACATTATCCGGTTATACACGACAGGCGACCTCTGGACGGCCCTCGTGGCCTACCACGTGCTGCTTTTGGCTAGCGACGAAATTGGAATAGAACGTGCACTTGGAAGTACATATTTTACGACAGGTAAGAATTCGCTTTCAAGTGTCAGAATCGTATGAAGGGATGATTTCTTGATTGTCCTTTTCTTATCATGAACAAAGAAATATCTGTTGTGTTGATTTACCACATAAACGATATTTTTTCTTAGATTTGATGTATTGTGGCCTTCCCTTTAGCATATAAAACTTGGACACATAACCATTTATACCAAACAATCTTCCAAATTTGTGAGTTTTGCGTTTTTGAAAGGGTCAAGGCTACATAGATACGGTATTTACAGATTGTGTAGCTATTTAATGACTCTTTCATAGTGCCGTCACACTGAAATTATTTAATTATCTACAACATTAAACCCAGCTCACTTACGCCAACATGGTATAAAGGTAGATTGTTTTACTATTTTTGTACTGCATTCAAGGATTTAAAAAACAACCCAAACAGTTTCACCTTAATGATTATAAAGGAAGCAGGCATTATATCGCACTTAAAGTGATTTTTGTATCTATCGAACAGCATCCGTCGTCTTTTTCATTCCATTGAATTTTGTTTACAAAGTCGATTTCCTTATAGAAACGTCTGGGGGAAATTTACATTTTATTTTTGTCTGTTCAGTACCTTGGGCATGTTAATAACTCCTTAATATAGTGTCAGCTCATATTAGACAATAACCTTCTGTTCTTAATGTTAACTTAATCTGAAAGTTTTGTATCCGTTTTCAACAATAGTGTTATATTTAAAGCTTGTAGTATAATTCTTTACGGCGATCGAAGTTTTTAGATGAAAATCGTATTGCATAAATAGACATTGATTTTATATTCCGACACGTTTACACTGAATTGTATATCCATATTAAAATCAAAGGAAACGATAGCATGATCGTAAAAGGCGAATAAACATGGAATCTGTTTTCAGTATGTTTTGTCTTTTCACACTTCCAGACGTTCGGCATTCAGTTGAGCGTTCGCCGATGTGATGTAGGCTTTGGGTTCTGTCCCTTGGTATAGAAGATTACTATCCCTGCTTAACGTTCATCTTTAGCTCTCCATGCCCGAAGGGCCTAGTTAGTTTGTCAGTCGTTTGTCATCTTTTCCTATAAATCGCACCTAATCATGAACGACTGAGCGGATTTTAATCAAATTTGGTCTGAAGCAAAGATTGGTCTTGGCCCCTGGAGCCGGAGAGGCGGACTACACAGGGAAAATCTATCATATTTTAAAAGAATTTTAAAGAGAGGAGGGCCCAAAAGGGAAAATTTAGGAATTGCAGGATATTGTGAAAATTTGATCTGGAGCATGCTTGTTGGTAAGCAAATCAATTTTGTATACACAGTTGGTCTGGCCCCCTTGGGGAACTGTCACGTGGGATATAGAAATCATCACATAATCAAAGCAAGATAGATTGAACGGTATGCTCTTCATATATAATGATAATTAAATGTTTCCCTGATGGAGAAATTTAATTCTCAACGTTAAGAAGTGATAATAGCAGGATCTTGGCGCCTACCTTTGTGTGTTCTTACTTTGATATTTAAACTTTTTTCACCGATGTTTTCTCTTAATTCTTGTTTTAACGTGTGCAATTTTGTTCACATCTTTAACGGTCAGATCAAAAACAACAATGGGCCTAATTGAATCCATATGTGAAATTTGGGAAAGATCCTTTGCAGTATTATAGAAATAACGATAGCAAATTATGACTGGCAAAAACCAAGATGGCAGCCTTTCGGCTATCTTGTTCTATCGATCAGTCTCACAATAAACTATGCCCAACTAGGTATTAAGGTGAACTTCCAAATTAACTATTATAATAATACACCGAACACATCTGAAACAAACGCAATAACAAGCATCGTTTTTAAAAATATCACAAGCCCCTTCCATGGATCATAGAATTCAAGTTTATTCAAATTTCGAATTAATTATTTTGTTTTGGAAGTCGAAAAATTGTCGTTAGGTAATAACGAAGATTGTACAAAAGTCATACAAGTAGTAACCCTTCAATTAAAATTAAGAGTTAGATAGAGTAGAGTTGAACAATAAAGTAACCAAGGGTGTTACATTTGTCATATTTTATGTTTCTCAGATATGAGATGATTTTCATGCACTTGTTTAACATTTAATTGTAAAATCATTCCAATCAATTTGTAGGAAACTTTTCAAATGAAGAGTTAGCGTTGTACATCGAGAAAAAAGTGACAGGCGAACGCTACTTGGAACTCAGTAAAAGTTACTCAGAGGACATTCGTCGACTGACGGAAGTGAACTTTAAAAACTCTGAGCTCTCTACGGCTCTTTCTAAGATGCGCGCGAGGATTATACTTAATGAAGACGTGTTGGCTTCAGCTGCTTCTTCCATCCAATGGTTTGATAATATGACGTCATACATTGATATCATTAAGGAAATACAAGACTTTGTCGCGAAGGTAAGAAAAAGATCATATAACGATAATACTTTTGTTTCTATCACATTCCAGAGTCTTAAAAGTGGTAGTTATTGCTTTCTGCCTAACAGCGTTGCGGTAGTGTAATGAAATGTTAGCTCCTTGTAAGTAGGTGACCACGTGTGTGCTCGAGACTTTTGACATAATATAACAGTGTAGTAGTACTGAACACGTAGATTCTGTTGAGGCCGCCCTTCAAGTAATTTAGCAACGATTTTATTGAATTCTTTTATACAGTAAACTAAACATTATGTCATCATACGAAACTTGAAGCTATCAATTTTTTAAATAAAAACTAAGAAATGAAAAGTTTACATCGAATGGTTGCGAAATTCAGCTATACATGTACGTACATCTCTGGATACGTGTTTGTAGTTAGCGCACCTGTTACTGTAGGTAATAAAGTATTTGAAAAAGAGGTATTTATACTCGATGACATGCGAACGAATAAGAATCTTAACACAAACAAGAAGATAAATATCGGACATCTAGGACTAAATAGATAAACATGAATCCTGGTAACGATTCAGCATTAACACGTAAGATCAATTATTTGAAGAATAATAAGTTGAATTCCGTTTTTTGTGAATTTAACAGGTTCATTAAAAACTATTTACATCAGTAGTTATAACACACATGAAGACAATACAGTACTTCATGTTATATAATCTGAATTCTGTTTTGCTGTTATCTGTCTGGGAGACTGGTCGTGTAAATGTGACACCTTCTCATCACTTCAATCATTATGATAAAATGAATATCATTTTGACATGGTATTGAAATTATTTCATTTGCCACTTTCCCGGCCACATGGATTTTCTGCGGATATACCTTTCCCCACAACCTACAACAACCGTAGCACTAACATATGAACATATGTAGAACAGAATTTCTTACAACACAACCAGTACAATATTAGAGTGTGACGTTTCGATAACTACAAGGGCGCCTTCATCTTATAACACAACCAGTAGAATATTAGAGTGTGACGTTTCGATAACTACACGGGCGCCTTCATCTTATAACACAACCAGTAGAATATTAGAGTGTGACGTTTCGATAACTACACGGGTGCCTTCATCTTATAACACAACCAGTAGAATATTAGAGTGTGACGTTTCGATGACTACACGGGCGCCTTCATCTTATAACACAACCAGTAGAATATTAGAGTGTGACGTTTCGATGACTACATGGACACCTTCATCTTATAACACAACCAGTAGAATATTAGAGTGTGACGTTTCGATGACTACATGGGCACCTTCATCTTATAACACAACCAGTAGAATATTAGAGTGTGACGTTTCGATGACTACATGGACACCTTCATCTTATAACACAACCAGTAGAATATCAGAGTGTGACGTTTCGATGACTACATGGACACCTTCATCTTATAACACAACCAGTAGAATATTAGAGTGTGACGTTTCGATGACTACATGGACACCTTCATCTTATAACACAACCAGTAGAATATTAGAGTGTGACGTTTCGATGACTACATGGGCACCTTCATCTTATAACACAACCAGTAGAATATTAGAGTGTGACGTTTCGATAACTACACGGGCGCCTTCATCTTATAACACAACCAGTAGAATATTAGAGTGTGACGTTTCGATAACTACACGGGCGCCTTCATCTTATAACACAACCAGTAGAATATTAGAGTGTGACGTTTCGATAACTACACGGGCGCCTTCATCTTATAACACAACCAGTAGAATATCAGAGTGTGACGTTTCGATAACTACACGGGTGCCTTCATCTTATAACACAACCAGTAGAATATTAGAGTGTGACGTTTCGATGACTACACGGGCGCCTTCATCTTATAACACAACCAGTAGAATATTAGAGTGTGACGTTTCGATGACTACATGGACACCTTCATCTTATAACACAACCAGTAGAATATTAGAGTGTGACGTTTCGATGACTACATGGGCACCTTCATCTTATAACACAACCAGTAGAATATCAGAGTGTGACGTTTCGATGACTACATGGACACCTTCATCTTATAACACAACCAGTAGAATATTAGAGTGTGACGTTTCGATGACTACATGGACACTTTCATCTTATAACACAACCAGTAGAATATTAGAGTGTGACGTTTCGATGACTACATGGGCACCTTCATCTTATAACACAACCAGTAGAATATTAGAGTGTGACGTTTCGATGACTACATGGACACCTTCATCTTATAACACAACCAGTAGAATATCAGAGTGTGACGTTTCGATGACTACATGGACACCTTCATCTTATAACACAACCAGTAGAATATCAGAGTGTGACGTTTCGATGACTACGCGGTCACTTTCATCAGACAAACGACAAGTGTTGAGCATAGTGTACGAGATGGTAAGGAATTGGCCAGCTATTTCGGCTGTACTAGAATTCTATATACACTAATGTCGAAAATAGTGTGACGAGATGGTAAGTCCGTGCCATCGATCGGTATTATTATCAGTTGATTAATGTTTTTACTTAAGTATTCGGAGGTTATTCACCATGTGTTATTTTGCATCGACGTATGAATTTCCGACACCGAAGGATTTCATATAAATGAATGTATTTCCGAATGTCTTAGCATATTGAACGTACATTTTTGGTATGTTTGTTTGTATAGAAATTTGAAAGTTATTCTGTATTGGGATTTTTTGCCTTTCCGGTTTTGTTTGTAATTTCCCCCTGTTCACTGCAAACCTGGAGTTTCAATTTGAAATTACATACATTTTTAAGGACCCATCTCGTCGTGTAAATGGTATAGGCTAGTGGTCGTGTGTTTCGGTTAGGATGTGTGATGATATTGGGGAATGAGGACGCTGTTTCAGTACAGCGATAACTGTATCTTACTATTCTGAAATAAAAAAGATACAAATTACTGTTAACTAAATTATTTTCGCGGCGACTTAATTTCACGATTTCCTGTAACAAATCCGGATATTTAGGACCGGTTTTCAATTCCTTCTGGCCAAATTTAGCCAAATGTGCAGAGCTGTATCAGATAAGTATTTTATCAAATATAGGTAACAGTATTGCGAAAATTGAGGTGTGCTCACTTTTTTTACGTACGCTTGTCTTTTCATTTATCTGACGTCTATACAAAATAAGCCTGGTTTTGTGACTTAGTTTGTGACAGAGTACTGTCAAGTCCAGCCTTATGTTACATTCATCGCCATGGTAACGGGAGGATTTTTTAAATGCAGAAAAAAGCCAACGGAATGTGAAGGGATATATTCCCTGTTATCGATATTCAGACACTTTTAAACAGAACAAGCAAAAATCTATTTCATCGGCAATTGAAAGTCGTACTTGATTAGGCCTACTCATGCAAGTATTTTCGTTTCTGACGCGTAAAATATTTACTTGCCTCTCGTTTATTTACTATTAAGTAAATAAAATTTGTGTTGTAAATACCTTGTGTGAATTATCTTTCAAAATGAAATCAATAATATTTGACGAGATAGGATAGACGGCAATTATCCATCAGTTAACTAGAAATATAAACCCAACTTTGATTGCAACTATTTCGCGGCGATTAATTTTCGCTAATTTAAATCGGCCGTGGAATACACGAAAATTAATAGCATGTGAAAATAAGTTCGCTTACCAGTAGCTCACTACGGCTATTATCTTAATGGTTTATATAAAGTTGGAAATATTTAGAAGGAACATCATGTTCACATCCATTCCTACAAGAAGTATGGCGTAAACCTTCTCAGTCTAGAATACCAGTCTGTCGTACACATGTAATGGATTATGCCGTTCGGCAGCGAAAAAAAAAATAAATAAAAGTAAGCTCTCCATTTCATTTCACAAACAAACCAGTTAAATCATTTCTGTGGATATTCAGTTTGATATGTCATATTTAATGAAAAACAGACTTGGAACTTGTAATTTAAAAGCATTAAAATGTGGCATTTTGATGCTCCACAGTTAGCGGTGACGATGTTTGCCGGTACCAGCTAACACGTTTATATGTGCCGACAACTAAATATGCGGCTAACAATATATTTCTCATTATTGATCAGTGGTTGGATTCTTCAGATACAACAGCATTAATTATGGGCAAACTTACACCCTGTCATCGTGTGTTATCAGGGTTTCCATCTCACCTGGTACATATGTACATATATCCGATTTATATTATATACAGTGATTGTGAAAATATTACACCACTGTTTGGTTACACGATTACAATTTCACCTCCACAATCGAATACATTTTTATACGGATGATAAGTACGTGGTATAGAACCCAGAAATTCATTTTTCCGATTCTAATTGAAATTTTTAATCAAAATAGAAACAAAGGTAAACAAAAAACAATTGGGGAAGGATATATCTTCATAAGATTGTTTCAGAATTCGGAAAATATTAGCCATCAGTTAGACACGATTGAGAATCTCAAACTTTTTTTCTGAAAATAAAGTATCTATTAAGTTGCTACTTTATACTGTGTTGTGTATGTGCAACTGATATGTGACATCTTATTTTTATTTCCAGAATATTTTGGAAAGGATACAAGGAGAACTGGATGATGTGAGTGTAACATACAAATTGAACGTCGGGTTACTATGTGGCTCCCTTTTAATGTATCCTACAATTTTAATTGTTATGTTTAAACTTACGAAACAGATCCAATTAGTGGCCTTATCGTTTAAGGACAAAGCTATTTTGTTATCAAAGGAGAGGAAAAGAAGTGAGACTCTTTTGTGTCAACTGCTTCCGGTTTCTGTAGCAAGGAAAATGATGGAGAATAAGAAAATTGAACCAAGATTATATAAATCAGCCACAGTATGTTTCTCGGATATCGTTGGTTTTACAACTATATGTTCCGGATGTACACCTTTCCAAGTTGTCGAATTGCTGAATCTATTATATAACACATACGATTCCAGACTAGAAAAATACGATGTTTACAAAGTGGAAACAATAGGTAAGAATATCTTCTGTTAAACAAGTATATGCATGTCGTTTATTTTTGTAGTTTACGATATAGGTTCATATTGCACAAATAATATTTCCCGATGAGACGGCCTTAAAACATCAGCATAATCTTCATCAACCTGCATTTTGAAACCAAGTGATCTTAATCTGCTGACATCTTGCACGAAAATCATGATACTGGAATAAATCAATGCGCCATATGAACACTATAGTTGGGGATGCAGGATTGTTGCTGTCCAGAAACAGAAAATTCACAGAAGGGAAATTTATCATACAGTTTGACGGAAAACTCTCCCTGTTGGTTTCAGTGTGGGAAAAGATCGCTGGAAGCGGCTGATGAAGAAGAATATTTAGATATAGAGATAATGCATACTTGTACAAAGACAATAATTTGTCGGTATTGTAACTACTACCTGTACATTAAAATCTTAGTAAAAAACATGATATAGTTCATGGTAGTTATTGTTATAGTATAATGTTTTGTTTCTTGCATTTTTATTAAGGTGACGCTTACATGGTTGTTTCGGGTGTTCCTGAAACCAATGGCGAGCGTCATGTCAGCGAGATTGCTTTTCTGGCACTGGATATGCTGGAAGCTACAATGGGAGTAGATGTTAGACATCTAGCGAATAAAAACATCAATTTGAAGATCCGACTCGGCGTCAATACAGGTAAACTAAACAAATTTAGATGGACTTTTTGTAGTTAATATCGGGTGCTGTCTAAAGTACTGACATCACCCAGTTTCAGTTGATCTTGGTTGTTGTAGATTAACGGACATTTTATCCGGATTTCGTTAGGCATTTCGTCGTAACTATTTCTATATTCGAGAACCCACTTACTTAGAATTTGCCTAGAATCACCTACTCGTTCTTTTTGTTGCCATTTTTTACACCCAACTTAGTAAAGGATTATAAAAAATACAGTAATCACTTTATGTAGGTTTCCGTACCAAGCACAATGCTTCGATGTGTTAATGATGCATAATGAACCAAAGTTACAGAGATTTATATCTATTTGATTATACAATAAAGTTCTGCACTTGATTTTCTTCTGTACGTAGGGAGCTAGAATCGTATTGCTCTCTCAATGATAAAAGTGATATATTTATTTTGAATATAAACGAGGTCGCCTTAATATTACCCTATCTGACCCGCCAGTCGATAAGTGAGATACGTTTTAAAATCATCGTGAAATTGTCCATTTTAGTCTCACTTGATAATATGGCATTTGTTATTTTCTGCATTTTTAGACAATCTAAATGATTTTAACCAAAGCTGCCATTCTCTGAATAATCGTTCATATTATTTAAATTATGTGGTTAATGCGAATCAGAAAAAAGTCGTCTTCTTAACGTCATGATCGAAATCAACGGCCGACGTGGTGGGGAATATTTATCACCAGTGAACGTTATGTAAAATAACCATTTCGTTCCAAAACTCTCTGAAGCATATTTTGGTGAAGGGGGATCAGTTATGTTCATATTGGGTCTCTGCCCTTTGTGGCCATAGGGGAAATAGAGCAAATGATAGGATTATGACCAAATTTGATCTAGTGCATTCTCAGAAGAAGAGGAATCAATTATGCCAAGTGAGCGGTACAGGCCTTCTGAGCCTCTTTGTCATGTGGAATTAGAAGTCTCTAGATTTAATGCAGCGAAAACAAACGGAATCTGAATACAAATCAGTTAAGAAAACAGGTTTTGAAATACCTATTAAGAACGTTATATAAGTTTTGTTTCGAAATAATTTTGAAAACCGATATTAATTACAAATTTACATAAATATTGGATAAGCCATGTCTACTATTCAATTTCGTAATTGGATCGCATAATGGTGGGCGTATAAAATGTGATGCACACAATAGACAGATGTTGTTCGTTATAACAATGACCATTATGTAAAACTGAACCATTCACCGCCCTTCATTGGAATTTTTTATTTTCTCCCAACGTTAAATCCCTCTACAGTTGTGATAATAGATGGTTTCTATTTCAACAGAACATTATAACTCTTGCTGCTGGTCAATGGTACATGGGGAAATTCAAATGATCTGGCAGATGTTAACATATATCTGCACATTCATTTTGAAAATAAATTCCCGATTAACTTTCTTTCATACAAATATATATACCGGTAAGAGTCTTCATGCTCATAATTCACCCACATGACATATCCAATTTGACACTGATTCTGCAGTTATCTTTTTATCTATGTTAGGCAGTAAACATTCCACTCAATGTCATATAAAATTATACATCGTCAGAATTGTATTCATGTTTTCCTCAGTCACCTCACTGACTCCAGAATTTAGGTCCTGAGCAGCAGCTGTATGAAGCAGTTCAATTCATTGTTTAACTCCACTGTATCTAACTCTGAAGCTGAGGTGCTTATTTAATTGTGTCTTGTACAATCGTCGATTGATCAACTTACCAATCCCCCCCACCCACCCACCCACTCACCCGTAATTAAGCACCATTCTGTATTCACAACTTTTAAAGTGATAGAAGATTTATATTTTTTTTTATTTCAGAATGATTTCGATATTAATTTTTTCTATCAAAGGATTACTATGACCGTGTCATGTTTAAGGTCCTCGTTTTCTTAAAATACATATAGGTTACGTGTGTTGTTTACAGGTCCTGTAGTGTCGGGCGTAGTCGGAAACAAAATGCCACGGTATTGTCTTTTTGGAGATACTGTCAATGTGGCGTCCCGCATGGAATCCACAGGAAAACGTAAGTAAAATCTAAACAGGATTTCTTTCCAATGCATTCCATGATATCCTGATCCTTTAATCTGCATACAGAGTTTCCATTTTGCTTTCTTAAATTCGATTTTGGGACGTAAATGCATTCTACCGCCTCATCAAGAAAATACATGTATGTTTTTACTGACCCCGTCATGCGATGGTACAAACTTTAGATGACCAAATTAAAATATTGGATGGACGGTTAACAGCGAATAATTAGAACATAAAATCACTACTTTTGAAAAGAAAGGGGAGATTAATTTAATGTATCCTTGTTCGAAGAAAAAAATCTGAAAATATGTATTCCTTCACACAAAACCGAATATCAGTGCTTCTATTGTACATTGGGTAATACTTAATGATCCCTGGAGAAGCGCGGGTAATACTTTTACAGCTTTGTGCGGTCGTCCGAGATTATTCAACTGAAACGTTTTATATATGTCAGGCTAATGCACTAGTAGCTTTTCCTTGTTGACGAGATTTTGTCTTTGATACTTTACTAACAAAGAAATAAAGTTAGAAATTGATAAAAAAATAACGTTGAAAAACATTCAACAAGTTTGTATATATATATTACACTAATGTCATGAATGTTCCTTTTACTAATGACGCCATGCATCAACAGTGAGCGACAACAAAGTAATCACATCGAAATATGTTCTTTCATAGGTATAGATCTGTGTATGTCTGTTTTGATGTATATATCATCAATAGCGACGCCTTCTTGACGTTTAAATGCAGTAGATATAAACAATAAAGAATGTATGGCGTACATGTACTTTTAGAGTTAACGTCAACCTTTGGTATATACTTAGTAGGTAGTGCAAGTGTCACGTTTTGAGAAAAAAAAAAAGAGAAAAAAAAAATTTAACAGCTCAGTGATGTAAAGTTTGGATTAACCTAGGTCATTCTTTATAACCGTTGTAGATCAAAAGAAGGCATCACGACATTTTGCAATTATTTTAAGCTTATCTTATTTCCTGATCATTTGCTCACTATCCTTACATTCTGTACACGACACTAAGCATCCGCTATATACAGGATTTACATATTCGATCTGTTTGTCAATAAATTACCTAACCATGTTTTTTTCGACTTGAGAGACAGCAATCTTATAATTAGGCAGTGTATATATAACAGCTGGTATGATGGTCTTAAATGCACACTAGTTATGCGCGGTACATGCATACGGTGACAAAAAGGTACAGATATATATAAGACAGAATGTGAATCAACTCTATATGTATGGTACAAATTTGATTCAACTCCCGAAAGGTGACGTCACACTGGATTTATTTATGTTGTCCCTTTACTCCCCTCTGTTCTTGTGTTCCTCTAGAGTATTGCCATCAAGTCGTGTGTGGAACAGGATGTTTCCATGGCGTTTTTTTTTTAAATGTTTCCTACATTACTGCTGTTGTCCCTTTACTCTCCACTGCTGTAGTGTCCATCTAGATTATTTCTGCTGTCCCTTTACTCTCCACTGCTGTAGTGTCCATCTAGATTATTTCTGCTGTCCCTTTACTCTCCACTGCTGTAGTGTCCATCTAGATTATTTCTGCTGTCCCTTTACTCTCCACTGCTGTAGTGTCCATCTAGATTATTTCTGCTGTCCCTTTACTCTCCACTGCTGTAGTGTCCATCTAGATTATTTCTGCTGTCCCTTTACTCTCCACTGCTGTAGTGTCCATCTAGATTATTCTGTTATTCCCTTATTCTCCTTTCTGTAATGCGCCCGCCTCGATTACTAGGATCGGTTACTGTTGTTGTCTATTTTACTCTCCACTACCGTGATGTCCGGATCGGTTATTGCTGTTGTCTATTTTATTCTCCACTACCGTGATGTCCGGATCGATTACTGCTGTTGTCTCTTTACTCTCAACTGCCGTGATGTCCGGATCGATTACTGCTGTTGTCTATTTTACTCTCCACTACCGTGATGTCCGGATCGATTACTGCTGTTGTCTATTTTACTCTCCACTACCTTGATGTCCGGATCGGTTACTGCTGTTGTCTCTTTTACTCTCCACTGCCGTGATGTCCGGATCGATTACTGCTGCTGTCTATTTTACTCTCCACTGCCGTGATGTCCGGATCGGTTACTGCTATTGTCTCTTTTACTCTCCATTGCCGTGATGTCCGGATCGGTTATTGCTGTTGTCTATTTTACTGTCCACTACCGTGATGTCCGGATCGGTTACTGCTGTTGTCTCTTTTACTCTCCATTGCCGTGATGTCCGGATCGGTTGTTGCTATTGTCTATTTTACTCTCCACTACCGTGATGTCCGGATCGGTTACTGCTGTTGTCTCTTTACTCTCGTCCTATTGTGATGCCCCTCATTGTTACTGCTGTTTTTTTTTTAGCTGATCATATACCAGCATCCATCAAACACAACACATGCAGTCATCTCGCTTGCATATAAAAATATTGTACAGCAGATGCGCCGTTCTAATTACGGATTAGCTGCAGTAGAGCCAGATAATCCTAAAAATGGTAACTGATGAGGGCTTGAAATCAAAATTGATAGAAAAACATCTTACTGTACTGCCTAACTTAAATGGTAGTTTATAAAAAAGATGTTAATTTAAACTGATACTATATGCAATATCATATCAAAGTAAAATGGCAGTGTAAAGGAGATTATGTCATATCAAAATAGTCCTATATAAAATTCTTGCTTTAGTGAAATGACACTGTATTGAAATGGTACTATATAAAATTCTTGCGTTAGTCTCACGGCATTGAAGAGGGTATCCTTATTTGGTTCAATTCGAGCAGAAACAGTAATGAATAACCTAGTTGCGATGATCCATCCGGTCCCGAGGATGTAGACCCCCTACAAGCAGTTCCTTTCTTTTCTAAAGCGATAATCCATCATCTTTTTTCATTTGCAGCCCAGAAGATACAGTTAAGTGCTAGTACTGTGGAAGCATTACAGCAGTTCCCATGCTTCCAAACCCAAGAAAGAGGATTTGTGCAAATCAAGGTTAGTGCCAAAGACTCCATCTGGCTAACTAACGAGTTCGGGATGTTTCGTGTCATAGTTGGTGTCATGAAATCACTATCTGGCACCGGATTTCCGAAAATTATATTTATTGTTTTATTTTGCAGTAAAGGGAAATTCCTGTACATGAAATATTTTTGTATATGTATCATTGGCTTGCTTTATTTTTATCATATTCCTTTGTTAGTTGCATGTTATCAAGAAAATCTATTAAATTTTGTATTACATACGAAATGGTTATCCAATTAAAAGAAAAGGAGACACATTCAGTTTTATATAGAGTTCTTTTCTTTGTAGTATCTTCTTTGATGTCTTTGCATATGGCATGGTTGGCGTTGACGCCTTGTACATGTTGATATTTTTCAATATAGTTTCTAATCCAGATTATCATCTAACTTTTGAATTCCTGACAATTTCTAACTTCAAACACGGGAAAAATATAGGATTATTTCCTGTTATCTTGTAGTCATAGTAGCTGTCTGAAGCAGCAGTATAAGATTAAGTTGTCGCGGAATTATCTGATGACATGTGTATTGTGGGACCTTCGTTTAATTAAGTTCCAATTTCTGGTCGTTGTGTCGATATGAATACTGTAACGATTGTAAAATTTATTCAACAGGGGAAAGGCGAAATGAAAACATCTTGGTTACTACGATCAACAATACCCACGACTGTCAATCTGCTACCTCCGGATCGTTGTTCAACAACAGTCGATATGTTTCAAGTACAGCCTAGTCGCAACGTAACGCTACCGCAGGTCTAAGGAGGAGGATTGTTCTTGGCACCGTTATATGTTGTTGTTCATATACATTAATTTTTATATTTGCCTTATGTGCTCTCGACTGTACTAACTATTGCCGTATCATTTTGCAACGGTTGATATATATATATATGTATATATATATGTTTTGGTACAGCCTACTGCAAACATTACATTACAGCACGTACTTCCTCTCATTGCGGTTATAAGTTATATTCAGGAAACCGGATGTCCGTGTTAGTAGACATTACATATCAGAAGTGACATTTCAGAGGATTTATTTATATGACACATCCTCAAAAAACAAAAACAAGAAAATACCAACATGTCAACACAATCGTGATAAAACCTCAAATTTAATCAAGCTAGAGCAAAATATGAACAAATAAAATTTACACGAATACTGAAAAAGCACAAGGAAAAAGTTGAGATGTTCCGGAAGAGTACGCCTGTTCTGCTGTATCGGCGACACCCGCCGTGTAAATTTTTGCCACTCTAGTAATGTCAAGTTCTCAAATGAGAGCAAAGTATACAACAACGGAACTAACAGGCAAACAAACAAAGAACATCAAACAGCTTCATATCGCGCAAAGAAACAATATTTCACAATGAGATCACTATGGTTAATAATGTTTATCTAACTGTATCATTTGAAACCCTTTAATATCAAATAAACTGCGACATGTTAACACCATAGGTTTGGGATGCCGGGATGTTGCTATCCAGAAATAGAAAATTAACAATAGGGAAATTGCAATCATACAGTTTGGTGTAAAGCTGTCCCTTTTTTATTCGTTATAGGAAGTAGAAAGTGAAACTAAAGGACTTTTAAAGGTCTTTATGACCTATTTAATAAGCTCTTTGGTAAATTTCACGCTTTTCCAATATTTTGGAAGATCGTACTTCTTTCCGAAAGCACATAATTAAAAAGCAAAGGAGTCTCATATTTGGGGTTGATTGACAAGTTGTGAGTTTTGTATTGAAGAAATTAAGCAGGGATGTCCTTTTTCAGCTTTGCTATTCCCTGACATTTTAGGCTGTATACCTGAGAACTGATGTCACTTGGCCAGTGTGTGTCGAAGAGGTGACACTGTGTAATATAATAGGCAAGTGTCTTTTGCAAAATGGTCAAAATCGCTGAAAGAGCGGTGATTCAATATTTGCAAAAGAAAGGTCTACCATATCCATACTAATGTGGAAGCAACACCAGGGAATGATGCTCTTTCATATGCTACAGTGAAACGGCTGATGGCGGAATTTAAGCGTGGCAAGCAAAGCTTTGGGAATGATACCCGTCGTGGAAGGCCCGTCACTTATGGACCCCCAGAAACTGTCAATAAATTCCACCATACTGTTATGGCTGAGTTGCGGAGGGAGGGATATACAACTAGTACAGTTGGTGTTTCACAGGAAAGATTTTGCAGTAAGAAAGCTCTCAGCCCGTTAAGTTTTTCTGTTTGTTGATTATCTACATATTATGCATCACTTCTTAGCCAGTTTAGATAAAATATTAAACCGGTGAGTTGTTCCACCAAGACAATGCCTCTGTTCACAAGTCTGTTATTGCCATGGTTGTTATCGACAATTGTGGCTTTGAATTGATTATTCACATGATCTTGTTCCATCAGACTATCATGTATATGAAAAACTGGAAAAGGCCATTTCCGGTACCCATTATCCAGATAATGACATCATACATGCAGTGGAGGACTTTCTGAATGTTCAAAAAAAAAAAAAAAAACATCGCTGGAAAAAGTTTATAGATGCTGATGGGGGTTATGTAACATAGGTAATGTCCGCCTTGTTTGGTTGGTTGACAGGTTTTTCGTCTCAGCCAATCCTCCAATATCTGGGTATCGTCTCAACGACAAACGTCAGTGTTCTGGCGATCTTAGGGGGCGATCTGCACCCCCTCAATGGGATGGAACCGTCTGAAGCGGTGATCGTTGGATTGCACTAGAAGACGGCTCAAGGGTCTAGTAGTGCCTTTTCCTACCTTTAGCAGTTGAAATGTATCCAGAAGCTGAAAGGAAGAGTTGAAGATTTGTTTTGTTGAGGTAATTTTGAATTCCGTCTAATGTCTTGAAATAATAAAAATAGTGTATGGTCTGACACTCTCCCTAGACTCCTGGACTATTTTTAAGAAAAGTCACAGGATGACCTTTAGCTACGGTACGGTGTGAGAAGTGTAGTATTCGTTTGTATGTTGGAAATTTTTGTTTAGAATACGGAAACTAATAGACAGTTATATATGCAGGGAGGTTGAAATGTTGGTACAAGCACTCCTTTTCTCTAATGTTCACTGCTGCTCTATGACCATTCATACGTTGTCTTAAATCACACCAAGCACTTAAGATACGAATCTATGTTCATTAGTTATAGATCAATTCATATCTAAAGTTAGAAATGTTACTTCCGTACCGTCAAGGAATCTTTCTATTGTGTTTTGTTGTCATCTAGTATTTACATAGAATAAAAGAGAATTCTTAGATCATCTGATCTGAACTGATTTGACCTTTGACACACGGGTTGAAAACGTCTTAGCAAAACCAAATATAACAAAGAAAAGTATATTTGTAGTAAGATCAAAAGGAAAAAATTATTGAAGTAAAAGTCACAAAATGTTGCTTCAAGAAAGTACGGTAGTGCTTATGTTTTTGAATAAATGAATAAATTTATGAATGTACATTTATTAGCATTGTCGTCACTACATTTGCATGGTCTTATGAATACCTAAGTAATCACTATAACCATGGTAACCGTGCATCATCCATCATTAGATAGGACACATCTATGTGGGCCTCTTGTCGATAGTGTGATACAGCTGGGACTTATCAGTGAACGACTTGAAAGGCAGCAGTCAATCTCTATTATTAGCTCTAAACTTAATGAATGAAACATAACAAGTTAAAGCTCTTTGAAATATGGAACCATAAAAATCCCTTATCATTCTATATTTAATATATACATAAGACCTGTATTAATCTTACAATGTAAATATTGATTAACCTTACATCGGTGTACGATAGATTACTGGAATCAATGTATATGTCTGCGAAGACAAGCGCATATTCATTCATAGAAACTGTAGAACAATACCTGCTTACTTTGAAGAGACGTTCAGGGAATTTTGTAGAAAATACAGGGCAAAGGGTGGTTTGTTCAAAGCATATAGTAAAATAATCAATGAGATCAATTCCGATTGATGACCGTACCATTTCCTGAGCAAGAGACTGGCACTGACCTTGGATGACGTCATTGTTTGACATCCTATCAATGTTAACTTAGCGGTTTGATTTGATGATATCTCGGTAATGTGATTATAAAACACATCCAGTGAAATCAGTTGACAGATAAAAAGACCGGGAATCTCGTTTGTAATCGGTACATGCCAGTTATTCAATCGACCAATAGGCTATATGGCAAATGACACGAAGACATAACACAAGCAAAGGGATATAGGCAAGAAGGCTCTATCAATGTATTGCTTTCCTTTCTGCGCTCACGTGACATACTTACATCATCATCAGAACAAATAATAACGTACAATTGTTGATCACTTTTATCATACCTATTGATGTTTTATCAAAATAAAACATGATATATTCATATTGTTTGGAAGTTTTTTTCAGGAAACAACAGAAGGATCTGAATTTGTTTTATAGCATTGCACACACGTGGTTACGTTGTTCATTCTTACCAAAGTATCAGAACCGAGTATCTGATCGAGTAATTCAGAGAGGTTAGGTCAATTGTTAACTCCACATAGATGTCTGAAGGAAATAGAAATAACACAAACACACTCAAGACCAGAAATAACATATGTGGAATTATCTTAACAACGATAACCAAAAGATCATGACGTCAAAAACAAACGCCTTCTTGGCTTGATATGCAAATGTTCGTCATGTTGAAGTTATTGTAATTTAGCCAATCAAAAGTCATTTTACATCTCAACTGAATTAGTGTGGTATTTTGTATTTAGAACCAAAAATGGAAAGCACAAGAAAGCTAAAAATTCCTCAAAATTGGATATCAATTTCTAGGAATTAATTAGTCACCAAACGCGTACTTATACATCTATATCTATTTTGAAAATGAATTGAGAAATAATCAATGATATTATTTTTTGATACAAATAATTATTTAAATATACTTTGAAATATTTTAGTTAATGCGAAAATTGCATCATATTTGTATAATGATAGAATTTCCTCAACTCGGAATATAATGTAAAATAAACAGTCTGATACACTGAAATCGATCTGAATCATCAACAAAACGAACCACTAAAATTTAACAAAAAATGGATAAATCACGTAAACGATGCAGGTCAAATGTTGGTAGATTCAAGCGGATGGACCTTTCTTACATCATTTTGCATGTTCTATGATTCGTTTTGTCGAAATCTTGCGAGAATATTATCGACTTAACAGCAGAAACGAACTCGCTAGAATGCTGTTTCCAAAAGGCGTGATGCCGGTTCAGATTCATAACGCATCAACTTTACAAATAGTCCATCTTACAAAACCAATGTTCAAATTTAGCTGACGACTTGTTTGGGGGGAGATCTGATTTTTTTTCTTCACATCATGGTAACGCATACGCTTTCCGAATATAGAAAGTATAGAAACCAATGATTAGATTTATCAGTCATCTTGAAGTAAGTTTTTGTTCACCTTTAGGCTTGTGTTTAATAGTCGACAAATCGTCATTATACTATTAACGTTATTAACTCCCCTTATATTGAAACCATAAGATTACGTCACAATATAGGTTACTACGTAACGCAATTCAAACGCATGAAGATGGCCACAAGGCCGTAAAAAACGTTATCGGCGTTATCGGCGATTTCATACGATTTTATTTGCCATGTTATTGTTTTGATTATATATATATATATAGAAAACCAAAACATTAACATGGCAAATAAAATCAACTATGAACAACAAGCTTAAGATTAGAAACGATAAAACTGAAGCTAATAGTATTTCTAGATAAAC